GGGTGCCCGCCACCTACCCGCTGCTCCCTTGCTCGGTTTCCAGCGGGCAGGCAACTGCCCGCCAGGCACCCACTGGAACTGTAGCCGTCGCCGGCGGGTGGTCCTCCACCCACTGGAAAGTTGGTGGGTATTGTGGTGTTTTTCCCTGTTTGTTGTTTCCCCGTGTCCCGTTGTACCCCATTTGTCGTGTATGAGTCTCGTTTGGTGTTTTAGGCATCATTCTAGGATTTTATGTGTAATACGTGTCGTTGATTGTTGTGTCTTAATTGTTATGTGATTATGTGTTGATTGATTGAATGGTGATGAGTATTTTGGTCATTGCGTAATGGCCAGTGTGACTGATAATGATGATAATGATGATGATGAGATTTTGATTGGTAGAAAATAAACTGTTGGCGGTTGGCACCACTTGTGCTCGATCATTGTACTAAAGGTACAGGCCATAGCGGTGGCTGTGCTAAAGGCACACACCCACCTTCGACTTGCTTGCTTTAGGCATGGGTCAGGTTATAAGTGTTGCGGTGTCATGTTAGAGCTATATGCGCTAACCCCTTGATATTGGCACTAGAGGTGCGGATCATTGAATGGCACTGCGGCACCATCTTGATATGTTGGTGTTTGAAAGGTGGGTTCGTCGGTAGGGGCATGTAGTTGACCGGAGGCATAAGGGGTGGGGATATAAGGGTGGCCTGGAGGAAAAGGTTGGAACTGATATAAGGACGGAGGGGAGCTACAAGGTTGGAACTTGGTATAAGGTCGGAGGATGAATTGTGTGCTTTGTTGACTACTTGCTAATTGATTGTATTGAATGCCTTAGTTGCCTTTACTCGTTATTTGCATGCTTATCTGCCTGTTATGTCTTGCATTGCATGTTTAGGGTGCCTATTAGTTCTTATGATTATTCTATGATATTGAGTCTGTTAATATGCCTTGAGTCTTGATCTTGGATTTAAACTAGAGTCTCGTAAGTATATATGTATTCCAGTATCAAAATGAGTTTCTTATATCTACATATATTGTACTTAACGCGTTGGAGTGGGTTACCAGCATTATTCACTGATGGTTGTTACACCAAATGTTTTTCAGGGACAGTGAGTAGCTTCGGAGCGTGCTAGTGGATTCGTGGACTTAGTTTAGATAGTTCTAGCCTAGATGAAGATGGCCTGCGTGCCTTGATTTGTATTTGGGTAATAGTTATGGTTTATGCCTTGCCATTTAGTTTAGCCTGTGCATCTGAGCTCTCCAGCTCAGATGTGGCATAACACCGCGACTATTATTTTTAGTTTATGCTCTGTTTGGGAATTAATAAAAGATTAGCCTTTATTTTATAGGTTTTAAATATCTCAAAATTTAGGGGTGTTACATTTGTTCTCTTGGATCGTGTTGCTAGAGTCTTGAGATCGTCCATTGTGGTATCATTTCCTTGTTATTGAGCTTTTGAGCTATTGATTCGAGATCATCTCTCTTTTATACCTCCATTTGGAATCCACTAGTGTTGAGCTATTGTTTGAGATTAAATCCTTATTGCATCTTTATTTGGGATCCGTTAGTATTGAGTTATTTCATTTAGATTATGGCTTGTTGTGCCCTTCTCTTGGAATCCGAACTACAGCTTTTTTTTCATAAGACTTTGTTGAATCTTGGAAAATCGTGACTTTGATAATCATGACTTTGGTTATAACCAATAGTACTCTCGAGTTTCAAAATTTAGAAACCTCTTACTTCCTTCCTCTGTGAAGTCAAATTCCTTCAAATCAAGTGTGCACCTATCTGGTGAATTCAAGTTTGTTAGTTAAGAAGTTGCTTTGTTTAACCTTGTTAATATCCTTGAAAAGTGAAAGTTGAATGTTGAAAATCGAAAGTTGAATGTTGAAAAGTTAAAAGTTGAAGGTTATGTGAAAGTTGTTAATGTGATAAGTATAAGAGCTATGTTTATATCCTGTTTGTGTGCTTTGCTTGTGTGGTTTTTGCTGTTAAGAAAAGAAAGTTAGAGGTAGTGAGATCTTTTGTTGCAAAGAAGTGAAGTAGTAGCGTGCATATCTAGTCAACCGAAGAACGTGATGAAGAAGGTTACTCTGCTTGTGGTTTGGAGTCAGTTGTAGCAGTCTTGGCTCGAAATGATCGGCATCATAGCTCGTAAAGTATCGCCCACAAGATCTAAGCTAACCTCAAGGATTGAAGTGAAGCTTCGTGTAACTCGAGACAAATATGAAGAAAAGGAAGTGATTAGAGCTTAGAGACCACGATTAAATATCCACAATTGCGGAAGGAAAACAGGTGTAAACGTTGATGCAGTAAGAAGAAGTCAAACCCACCCAAGTAGATGGTTTTGAGAGTAATGGTGAAGAGAATTTCAAAGATTAAACCCGAAGGTTAAAAGTAAAACTTGAAGCACCGAGAAATTGGACTTAAGGATGGATTGAACAAACGTGAAGATGATTCTCTCTATCTTTGAAGAGATGGTAAATGGATAAGACAGGAGTTGTGAACTCCGGAAAAAAAAATGAAGTCTAAGACGATTGACAATGACTTTTGGCTTGTGAGATAAATGAAGATGAGAATAAAAGATGTAAGTAGGTTGTGTGATCTTATGAAGAGTGGGAAATTAAGAATTGAATTAAGTAAGAAATGACAAGTTAAGGGATGTGAACTTGGAAATGATAAGTTGTGTGAAAGCTTAAAGAAGGAAAGTTAATGATGAGAATGAGGTAAGAAGTAGTTGAGTTTTGATAAAGGGATTGAAATGTTAAAAGACTAAGATGGTATTTATAAGAGGTTCATCTGAAAGGAAATGATGAAGATTAGTAAGAACAAGAGCTATCGAATCGTCAAAGCGTTGTGATCAAATCGTTAGACCGAAGAAACCCCTTCCAAGTCAATTCCTGTTCCCTTTTGGGATAGAATTCCTCATTCTTCCTTATAGAATCGGGTACCTCTTTTGTTGAGAAGTCACTTTTATCTTTTCAGACATCGTTCTTATTTTCCTTTGAATTGAATCAGTACAAGGTGGCAACATTATCTCCTAAGTTGTAATCTTGAGAATCTTGATCCTGTTGTTAATCAATAACATCCCTAAGAGAAATCTTGCAGTTCTTATCATATTCTTTGGCCCTAAAGCCTTTTAATACATGCCTCAAGTTGTGTTTTCAAAGAAAACTATATCCAATCACTTCAAATCTTTCCGGTCTAAGCTTCGGGGACGAAACTTGTTTTAAGGTGGGTAGAATGTGACAACCCAAAATATTAATCCCAAATTTCTATTTTATAAAGTTTCGAAATAATTTTTTTTTTATTTCTACGATTATTTATTTCCTAAAACTTTGAACCAAAAGTTTATTTGAGACGAAACCGTATTTATTCATATCAGTTTCCTAGCATAAATGATTTAATTCTTGAGCCCAAATGTATTTATTATAGTCCAAATGTATTTCTAGCCCAAACTTCTAACTCATTTAGTCTTAATTGTTTAGCTCAATCATTTTGCCCAAACCCAAGTGTTGAGTCCAAATTCAATATTCTAGTCTAGCGCAAAGTAGTATTTTGCCCTACTAATTTATTTTATCAATTAAGTATATTATATACATATGTTTAGGCCTGTGCGTCGGACGGTTCAGTTCGGATACTCGGAGGGCCAAACCGCACTGATTTCGGATTATTATTTTTAAACCCAATCTCATTGTATCAATTTGTAATATCTTTTCGGTTTTATAGGATTTCGGTTGAGGACGGGTCGGTCGGATATCCGAATGCATCTCAGATATTTAAAATATAAAAACAAAATTAAATAATTGACTAAAACGCGTAAAAATTAAGTAAAACTGAAAAAATTTACAAAAACATGTAGTGCACTGTGCACAAACTACATGTAAACTTTATAACTGTATAAGTGTAAAACTACTAAACTAGACAACTAGTACTTAGACTTCAAAAAGTCAAATGGGCAAGGGCAATTATGAATTAGCTTATACAAAATGTAAAACTGTAAAAGTAGCCAATTTCTAAAAAACACTGCAGCAAGCACCATTGCATCAAATCACCAAAATTACAGTAATACAAAAAATATCCAACATGCCACAACTGATCCATCAATCCATCATCCTAGAGTCCTAGACTCCTAGTTCCTAGCTCAGTAGTGCCTACTTTAGCTCTAGCCTGTTGTTCTTCTTATTCCTGTCAATACTCAAAACTTAAGATGAATTAGCAAAAACAAAATAAGATATAAAACTATAAAAGGTAGAAAATAAGATATTAAACATTGGCTCAATAAGCTTTTTGTCCATATCAAAGTTAGGATTAAAGGCAAATTGCTACAACATCCCCATGAGGATAGAGCAACATACCAGCTTAATCCCTTATTTCAGATCATTGGTGGAAGCTTTCATCATCGCCATAACAAATAGTTAAATTATTTAAAGTCTTAAATAAATAGTACAATGATACATTACCAGCAGTACAGCACCCTTGAGTCCAACAACAAACTTACCAACTAACAGTTATACCACTGTGGCACTGTCCAGTGCACCAAGGTCCAAGGGCAGCAACCAACAAGTTAGTAAGTTACCAAGCCTCATTAGGACAACTGGACAACTAGGCAGCAACTAATTACTAATTAGTTACCAAGCCTCATGAGTCACGAGTAATATAGTACACAGATTACATTAATGCAAGAATATAAATTAGTATAAAGTATAAAGCATAACATTACAGGAATCGTAGGAAGTGTAGAACCACCAATCCTCCCAGCTCCACTCCCACCATCAGCTCCCAATTTTGCAAATACAAGGACAAGTTTAAAATAATAGTAAATAGAAAATGCAGTAAAGTTAAGTGTTAGTATGTTACCTTGTTCAAATCTCTCCAATTCCTCCAGATTTTCCTCAATTGATATGGGGGTATTAGGCGGTCTAAGCCAATCCTGAGTACAAACCAGAGCTTCCACAATTTTAGGAGTTAAAGAACTCCTAAAAGGATCTAAAACCCTCCCTGATGTACTGAAGGTAGATTCTGAGGCAACAGTGGATATTGGTATAGCTAAGACATCCCTAGCTACTTTTGAAAGGATAGGAAATCTTTCAGCATTCAGCTTCCACCATCTAAGTATGTCAAAAGAAGATTCTTCTTCAACTAATGCCTCAGCAAGGTAAATTTCCAACTCAGTTTTTTTCTTTCCCCCACTCTCCATTCTTTGTTTCTTAATCTAGGATTTTAATAAACCCTGGGGCTTCCCAACTTTAGACTGTGAAGAATCAGTAGAAGAGATGACAGAAACAGTAGGGACAACAGTAGAAGGAATCACAAGAGCAATAGGGACAACAGAGGCAGCATAATAATCAAACAACTCTGTAAAAGCTGCAACCACTTTCTCATAGTAGGTTTTACCTTTTAATTCACCATACATGTGTAAGATCTGTGCTAGCATGTACTCTAATTTGTCCCTGGGTCAAGAATGTTTGCAAAGAATATCATCAAGTTCATCTTATCTATATCCCCCCAATACTTTTCAAATTTAACCTTCATAGTTTCCCCCATCAATTTCACAGAACCACCAGCTTCCACCATTCCATTCAATAGGCAATATAAATCAGAAATTTCAGAAAAAAAAGTGTTAGATGTGACATATAAAGAACCTGAAATTCTTATTGTCATATCATAAAAACACTTCAACAGATTCACCAAACTCTTCACAGACTCCCAATCAAGAAAGTTAGGAATAGAATCACTCAAATCTGATTTGAAGGAAAAATCACTTTCTTCAAGTGAATAAAACACTTTCTCATAAAAAACTGCAAATTGTAACATAAGATATGTAGAGTTCCATCTGGTTGGAACATCTAGACACAGAGAAGATTTCTTTTCAACCCCAAGCCATTCAAACAAGTCTTTTTCTTAAGTCTAGCAGGTGAACTTCTCACATACCTTACAGCATCCCTAACCTTCTTCACAGAATCATCACAATGTTTTAGCCCATCTTGCACAACTAAATTCAAAATATGGGCAATGCATCTCATGTGAATGTACTTGCCCTTCACAGTAGATGTTCCCCAAGACATCAATTTCTTTTTTAAAAAACCTAGGGCAGTGTCATTTGAGGATGCATTGTCCACTGTAATAGTGTAGACATTTCTAATACCCCAATCCAGCAAACAGTTTTCAAGGGATTTTGCAACAGACTCACCTTTGTGTGATGTGACAGGGACAAATGAAATAATTTTTTTATTCAGCCTCCACTCTTCATCTATAAAGTGAGCAGTAACTACCATGTAGTTAATTCTCTAAATAGAAGTCCAAGTGTCAGTAGTAATACTGACTCTTTGAGTGTTTCCCCTAAACATGCATTTCAACTTGAGCCTTTCCTCTTCATAAATCAAATTGATGTCCCTACTAATTGTCCATCTTGAGGGAATCTTAAACCTAGGACAACATACCAGAATGAACTTCCTAAATCCAGGACCTTCAACAAATCTAAAAGGGAGTTCATCTATTATAATCATTTCAACTAAGGCCTTCCTAATAGCATCTTGATTAAAGACCCAAGTTCCTAACTCACCAACAGTAGCAGGAGATGCATCAGAATTGGTAACAGCTTGAAAGGTCAGAAGTGATTGCCTAGTGTCCTTAGAGTGAGGGTTTTTAAGACAGTTAAACATGTGGGTTCTCAATGATGAAGTACCATGTTTTTTGGTCTCACATTTATATATTTTGGCACAATATATACACTTGCCCTCAACAGTAACATCATTCTCATCAACAATCTTTTCAAAAGGATCCCACACAGGAGATCTGGATTCAACTACCTTCCTTTTCTTCGGAAGAACCGCAGCAGTAGGTTGCACATTCTGTTGATCATTATTTTTCTCAACAGTCTGAGCTTCCACCACTGTAGATCCATGAAGTGAAGAGTTGGAAGGTTGACTACCAGACTCTATGATATTTTCCATCTAAAGAAATGGAATACTATCAGTACACTGGGAACCATTTCAAAGAATGTCAGAATTAGAGAAATCCAGAATCAGAAGACAGCCACTTCCTAACTTCATCATTTTTCTAAATTTCATAATTGGGACTTTAAGGAATTAATAACTATTAAGGGTCATACATCCATAAACTTATAACTTATAAGTTATAAACATAGTAACATACAGGCATACATGGATACAATCACAGTATCACATTAATCACACAAAGTGACAAAGAAATCCAGAAATCAGGATGGTGAAAGCCTGAAGTGTACATTCATCATTTTACTGGATTTCACAGTTCGTAGTTACAATTGGGGCTTCCACCAATTTTCACCAACACAGGCAACATCCAACAGCCAACAGGGGTTAGGGACTTAGGGGCTTCCACAAACAATACTGACAAAGTATAATCAACAGGTGTTAGGGACTTAGGGGTTTCCACAAACAATCACAACTAAGTGATTCTAAAATGTCACAGTCCATATAATCATAGAAACCCTAATCAAAGTATCAAAAATTCACAAATAAGGGACAAGTGACATGCAACCTGGAACTTCTCAACAGATTGACATTGTCACAGTCCACATAATCATAGAAACCCTAATCAAAGGATAAAAAATTCAGAAATAAGGGATAAGTGACATGCAATCCGGAACTTCTCAACAGATTCACATTATCACAGTCATCAGAATCATAGAATCACAACTAACAACCACGTATCACAATATATAAGAGTATAATCTAAGTATGTCTAAGATTAGGGTTTAGAGATTACTTCATTTCTCCAAATCAAACCCCCGAGAACAAAGGGCTTCAAATCCGTGAGACCGTGACAGCAATCTACAATCCACCGCACCGGTCACCAATCGTCCAGAATAGGGCTTCCACCGAACAATATTAGCTAGCTTCCACCAGAGACTCACACTCTCAGTCTCTAACTGAGCAAGTCTACAACTCTAGAAGAAACTCAGAGAGAACGAGAGAACTCATAGACTCAGAGTCTCACAGAGTCAGAGATCTGGAGAAGAAAGAAGTAAGAACTAACTAGGGTTTCAGATTTCAGAGAAGAAAGACGAGACTCACAAGAGAACGAGTCTAGAGAGTTCTCAGAAGTCAGAAGAAAGACGAGGAAGCTGCGCAAATGAGTAGGGTTTCCTTCTAAGGCAACATATATACACCGCTTACACGACGTCGTATACCTTAGGGTATACGCAGTCTTACCCTAATTCGGGTTGTCGGACGGGTTCGGGGGGATTTTATAACCCCCAACCCGCCTCGTTCTAACCGGCTAGGTGGCGTGTGAACCGGTTCGGGTATGCTAGTTCGGGCTCGGATTCCCCCCCAAGTGCGTATAATCGGGTTCGGGTCGGTCGGGTTTTTCGAGTGGGTCGGTTTTTACACAGCCCTACATATGTTGTTTGTAATTCTTCCTCCATCAGATTCCAGAAACCAAACAACCCCTCTGCATAGTCTCTCCCTCTTCGTTTATCTCTCTCTCTCTCTCTCTCTCACGAAGCGAAGAATGAAGTAGCAGCTCAGCTACACTACCCTCTGCCTCTCGTCTCTCGCCGACAACCCTGGTGTAGCAGATCGGCGATAGCAACAGGAGACCAGCAGCCCCGCCGACCTCTCCCATCTCTCTCGTCTCTCTCTCTCTCTTTTTGTTCGTTAGCAAACATCAACAACAACGATGCAGATCCGGCGGCCTCAGGTGATGTCTGGTGAACCAGCAGTAGCTCCCTCGACGGTGAGCAGAAGGACGCGACTCCTTCCCCTGTTTTCCGGTGTGCAAGAACAATGGCGGCAGCAAACTTGGTCCCCTTCTCTGGTAGTGAAGTGAACCGATGACAGCCTTGGTTTCTACTCCGATGAGAGCTTCCGGCAGAAGCAATGGCACGGCTTGGACAATATAAGGTGAGGTGACTCACCTTTGTTAGTGATTTAATGGATGATGATGATGATGATTAGTAATATTAATAAAGATTAGTTACCAAGTTAGTTATTAATGGCTAGTGTGGTGGGATGGTGAAGGTGTTGGTTGGTTATAAAGAGGACCTAGGTTTGAATCTAGCTATTAGCATTATTTTAGATCTCACTGTGTTATACCATTTTGGATGGACAATGACTAAAAAATGATTATAAGTCATAATAAGAGTCATTAAATGAAATAAGTATGAGTATGGATAATTAGTGAATAATGATTATGGAAATGCCTTTTTGAATGGACAATGACTAAATAATGATTATAAGTCCTAATACGAGTCATTAAATGAAATAAGTATGAGTATGGATAATTAGTGAATAATGATTATGGAAATGGATTAAGAAAAGTGAGGACGGGATATAGTTTAATACTATTATGTTGATAATAATTGTAGGAGTAACAAAAGAGGATTCGGTTGACAATTCGGTTGACTTACGGTTTTCCCGTTGAAGTGGCTAGCTCGGGAATGAGCTCAAGATCAAGTGTTTGGCTTTTGAAGTTCGGTTAAAGGTATAACAGTGCACAGTTCGATTCCGGTTCCATTTCATCTCGAACCTTAACCGGAACCAATACCATATTGGTTCCGGTTAGGAACCGAAACCAAAACCGTACAAACGGTTTGATTCCGATTCCGGTTCAACAGTGCACGGTTCGGTTTGAACCGTCCGATTCGAACCGAACCGTGGTCACCCCTACATCCATCAGTACTAATTTGACAAGAGTAAACTAAAGTTTAATTATATATATAGCTAGGTAGGTTCTGGTGGGGGCTGGAAATGGCATATAAAGTTTCCTCCTCATCATGTTACATGTATGCCTGCAATACTACAGCCACATACCTACTTATATAACAATCATTCAACACAATAAGAGTAATTAGGAAGATGTAGGGATCCATTGACCACCTTGAATGAAGTTGTCTATAGAGTAGGATGATACATGTTTCGCCGGAATCTGGCTGCTCCAATTCACACGTCCAGACGTCGTAGCTCCTGCCCCGATGTTCTGGAACTCCCCATAATACAGCGTCTTCAATGCGAAATCACCAGTCCACGGCATCCATCCATTTGGTGAAATCAGAGCTTCCAACGTACATTTTATAAAAACCGTCCTGGAGTACTCCTTCCACGGCCTCCCTAAGTAATTCTTGTGCACCTT